CTATACACAATATCCGGACTGTCACAATGCTCTACAGTTCGTTGTGTGTCTATTTGTTCTGGACTGGTCATGGGTCCTTCGTCCATACTGTCATCGTCATCATCGTCAAGGAAGTCAAGGTTGATGTGAAATTCGGAAGTCGCTTTATCACGTCCAGCATTTAGTTTCGTCGAGGAATGTAGGGATCGAACGCTGAGAAGGCTAGATCCAACGCTCGATTGGTCATCGTCATCTTCGTCAAGAAAGTCTAGGTTGATGTGAAATTCGGAAGTTGCTTTGTCACGTCCAGCATTTAGTTTCGTCGAGAAATGTAGGGATCGAATGCTAAGAACGCTAGATCCAACGCTCGATAGGTCATCGTCATTACCGTCTAGAAAGTCTCGGTTGATGTGTAATTCGGAAGTCGGTCTGTCAAGTCCAGCGTCTTGTCTCGTCGAGGAATGTAGAGAATGGATACCAAGCACCGATCTAGGTCTCTGAGATGGGACATTCACACCTGCTGTATTGCCGCCATTTAGTGTTCTACTCTTGCCATGTGCAAGATCCAAGTGCGGCAATAATCCAACTGTCTGGCTACGGGAGTACTCGAGACCTGTGGTTGGATGACCAATACCAGTCTGACTGCAGTAATTTTTTGCTAGCCCCCTATTGGGAGTGAAGGCACTTGAACTTTGGGACCCTGGGATTGATTCGCATGTGTTACTTGTGTGGCATTTGTTGACCTGTTGATGGTCTTTTGGCGAGATAGATGGCCAGGCAGGTTTCGGAAGGCAAGATTCTCTTCTCATGATCTGTTCCCGTTCTAAAGTCATGAAGTGATTTGAGTAGCACTCTACCCGACGTTGCCTTGGTAGATCAAAAGGGGTGAAGTTTAACAAAGGCCCAGTCTCTCGTGTCTTCAAATGGATTGAAGATTCTTTTTTCACGTTTGATGGACTGACTTTACGCCACGATCCTTTGCTTGATTGGTAACTGTATGTTCTAAGGTTTCGAGAGGGGCGATTCACGGAAGGTGTGGGTGATTCACATGGCCTTCGGTTCTGTTGTACAGATTCGCCACGGCAGTTATCAGGCCTGCCAGTAGGGAATTTGATGTCGTCATCTACCACTGTGGTGATTGCAGAAACAATGTCCGTTTGACGGAGGGATATTGAAACTGATTTGCATTTACTAGAATCTCGGCTTCTACAGACCAAACTCTCTTCTACGGAGTTAGGCTGGGTTTCCAACATCAATCCAATTTTTGGCGAAATAGTTGGCCGTTTTTGAGATGTCGATGGACTGGCGCCTAGCCCTGGTCCTTTGCTAGATCGGTCATCGCATACTTGCACATTTTTTTGCCATCGGACTAGCTCTCTTGTATCATACCCTCTTGCCTCTTCTTTCGCCCTTATTTCTTCCTTCTTAGAAGCTGAAACCAGAGTTAAAGCATTTTGAAACTTACAGGTTTTCGTCCAATTAGAAAAATGTATGTGTCCGTAAAGTGAGAGTATGAATGAGATTTCATAGGAAATTTTTATTTGGCATTTTCTAGTATTATATTGTATTGTATTGTATTATTGTGTATTAGATTGTATTGTATCGTAAATTGTGTTTTGTTTGCACTGATGGATATGAGTTGTACTCAATGTATAAAGTCCGTCTTTACATAATATTAACAGATACCTTCATATGTATTATGTACCCTAATCATTTTTATTATAACCGTCTAATATACTTCCGGCTACTGGGCTGAATTATGCCTGTCATTAGCAAAAGTCAAAAAATTACCAAAAACTAAAATCCCCTTTTCAAAACTTGGAGTGGACAATGCAACAGGAAATAATTTAGGTTTCTAAGCTATGGGTTTCAGGCTATTTTTCTCATCAATACAAAATAATTATGTAATCAATGCATCGACATTTTGTATTGTTTTGTATTGTAATATACGTATGATGCAATTACTTAGATGCGAGTAGGAAGTTATCACTTTCGCCACCAGGTGGCTGATTCGGGGGAAATAACTTGGCAGGGTATTACAAAATTCCTTTAAACTTGAATAAACATTTTAGTGGTTCACTTTTCATATTACCCTTATGTGTCTGATAGTTACGTATATACTAAATTGAAATATGTCCAGTAAAACAAAAATGTTATCTGCCCAACAAAAGAAAAGATATTTCCCTTTTGTGATTTTACAATAGGTTCTATGGGGAATCTCCTCGACCTAGAAGTCATATTTTCAAAGTAATGTACAATCCAAATATGACATCAGTTTGACTGAATTTTGAATTTTTAATGACGTAAATCAAGATTATTTCTACTCACATCCAGTCAATTGAGTTTCATTTTCTAAGAGGTATTGCGCAAACTGCGTTAGATTCGAGAGGCTGCACGATTATAGAGTAGGGAGAATGCTCTCAAAACAAAGGGCTTACCAAAGTAGCTTAATTAATATTATGCAAGGAATTTGTACATGATCCCAAGTCATATGATGTAAAGCAGATCGATGAGCTTCACTTTTCAAAGAGTCGAAAGACAATGCATGACTAAAAGTAAGGAAAATTTTCTCAAAACAAGGTGCTTACCAATAGTAGCCTTCAGCCGCTTAATAGCAACTTTAAGTTCAGCCATTTCGAACCTCATGTTCTGTTGGTGTCTTTTCTCATCCGAGACCTCTTTCTGTTTCTTCAACAGAAACCTCTGCAGGAACTGATCGTCACGTTCATTAGTTGCTGTAAGTATAAATCACCATTTTTTACCCTTTTCAGGAAATTGATTTTGTGCCTATGAAAGAGAAAATTGATAGCGGAAGATAGATGGACTTCCCTTTTGGTTGTGGTAAATGATATCAAGGGCGTAGCCAAACTCAAAAAAGTTTAAATGTGTTCCCAGAGAAAATTGATAGCGGAGTCGAGTGACGATTAGAAGTCCATGATCTCAGGACGTAAAATATAAACATATTAATGCAAACGTATTTCATGGGCGCAAAACATCAAAGTAATAGGTCTCAAAATGTTAAAAATCAACTCTATTTCTGAAAGTCTTTGGTGCTTGCCTCATAAAGTTTTATTTACAACCTTGGATGCCCAAAAGCCAAATTCAGAAAATTTAGAGAGAGGTTGTTGTTCGCAATTATAATGAAAACGAGGGACAATCCTGAACACTGGAAATGGGGAATAGCCAATGAGGGTAATGGTAGATTGCTTATTGAGAAGAAAAAATAAATGACCATGTATCGGTGAAATATTGAAATATGAAAATATTATGTAAGGTTAAAATTAGCCTAGGCCTATATAAAACTAGTGTAAACAATAATAAGAAGTCCATGGTAATAAACGAAATAAATCATATGATATCATAATACTGACGTAACATATTCTTTGTTTAGTTCGGCGATATCTCACCAAAGCAAAGCCTTTTGTTACGTAGCAGAGGAAATCATGAACGACTGTTTTTGGTGATGATCTGATATAGGCTTACTTTCATAGTCAACAGGTGAACTAGTACTCATGTCTGTCGACGTCCCAACGGATGTTGATATAACGACATCTTTCTTCTTTATAAAGAATTTCTTGAGACGTTTCCACGCCGATCGTAACTTCTTGAAGCCCATATTCGCTTGTATTATATCACGGTGTTGTGTTATAAAAATACTTTTCCGATGTGAGGAAAGTCAACATTCGTTTGTTGTCGTTGCTATGACGTGTCCTTAGAATTTCGATTGTTTGTGCAGTCAGCCTCATTGTGTGACGTCATCATCTTCAGATGAGGTGACGTCATAGAATCTGTTTCAAAATTAATAATATATGACGTCATTTATTTTTGTCATGGTGAAGTTACCTGTTTTCAGTGCACATTTTGCCCAGTTGTTCACACAATTATTGTGCTTGAATCACAAATTTTACTGGGCCTTTAATTTGATGATAACGTTTGTTATATTTTATCATATTCAGATATGTGATAGCCCTAATGACGCCGGTTCTTTTCCTCCTTGTGGCCTAATCAAAATCACAATATGAGTTGGCAAGATCTGACTTTGAAATCGGGCTTCGCAATTCATACAATTTCATTTTTTATTTTGACATGAGTAGAAATAAAGGTTTTAAACTCTACCAGAAACTTACAGAAAGTCTAGAAAAGCAATTTATTTAAGAAATATACATTCAAATGCACCTTTGCTGTAATTTCGAATGTTAGGTATTAAAGCTACTGACTTTTCTCCATGTTTTACTGCAGACGATGATTATTTGTGCTGTGAAAAATAAATAATTTTTGAACCAAAACTAAGTCTAGGCCGTTTTATGATAACAATAATTTCATTTTCTCAAATAAGTGTTTTTTTATAGTGCTGATTCCAAATGTTATTGCTGTCTCAATAATCAATTGAAAGACGCAAGAAAAGTTGGTGAATTTCAGTGATGAAGATGGGTATAAAATGGCAATTTATATACGGTTTTCTTCAAACTTGTTCCATTCAAAGCAAAACAAAATTGCCGTTCTGAACGGTCGAGGTTAGCACCGCATGCTTACATTGTTATATTCTACACTTCAAGAATAACTAAGATATCAGTAGGTTCTAATTTTGTCAAGCTATCTAGCAAATCAGACAGGCGTGGAAAACAGAAAGTACTACAATTGCATTATGGGATTACGTCATAGCTAAATTTACGACCGTAGTAGTGCCATCTTTTAAACGTGATAAAGTTCATTTACATTTATAACAACATGACATATGAAGTCCGGATGAATTATATGTCTACATAACTTGAAATACGTAAACAAGTTTTATTGATAATAAGCTTTTCTACTTGCTTTGTTTATGACTTGTTTTTGAGGACATCTTACCTTTTACAAAATTTAAAATCCAATCAAACCCCCAAAACCGAAATAACCTTCACATGAAATTGCAGTAAATATTTTTCTGAACTGTAACCTTTTTTCTAGAAATTTCGCAAGGATGTCACTCAGGTTTTATAAAAAACAACCCATCTAGATAAGCGTCTCATTACACTCGTATGATAGATTGAGACCTGAGGGTACATATCTGAAGTTACAATCCCGAGATGAATTGCATTCGAGGAACTTTAGCAATATGCGTAATTGCTGTTAGCGCGCTTAGATGGGCTAATGCCGAGGGGACTGCCGCAGCAAGGGACCCATTCCCGCCTTGCAGGGACGCAACAACGTGCACGTGTGAACCCGTCATCAATGTCACCCCACAACTAATGGGTTATTGCGATTGTAAGAATCTCACAAATTGGCTATCCAATACGACATCAGGACTTTCAGAGGCAGAAGAAAACATTGCAGAATTGGCCACAGATGTAACCGATCTAAAAGGTAAAGAAACAACTTACATGTATACAGGCAAACTGGATCGGAAACAAACGTTAGAATATCTTGAATTGATGTGAATTTAGGGGATATGATATATGAGAAAAACGAACAGTTAGCTACATGTGCATTACCTCGCACCATATTTAGATATCGCGCTATGTACAGTATCATCCGTTATAAGCTGTGATATCTAGCAGACAAGAGGGTAATTTCTGACTGATATCACATTATTTAATGATATCACATTATTTAATGATATCGCATTATTCACTGACATGACACCATTCATTGATATTACACCAGGCACCTATATTACATTATTCTGCCACACTCATTCAAAGTCTGGAAACAGTATATGCATGCGTTGTTAAATCATCCTTCAATTCATTGAGTTCTAGGCTTAATCCTTTATTACATCATTCATTAAAAGCTTCTGTTGATGAGCTGAAGGGAGATAGTCATGAGCCAGACAGTAACGATGAATCTGACTTTGCGAACTACTACGATGAGATTGCACAGGCAACTTGTACAGCCATGAATACAGAAGGCGGATGGACTTATGCCGTACGTATAGCATGTTCAGGATCTCGCACATGTACCGCCATATGTTCGGATGCACAGCTGAGGGCCCAAGACGTTTATGTAGCTGACAAAATGTAAGTTCACAAAATAAAGCAATGCCTAAATAAAGTTCACGTAGCTATATACAATGCACACATTACTAATGTTTAGACGCATTTTATTTAATGTAAAAATTGAGTCTGCGATAATTAGAATGATGATTTTAAAAAAAATTGTAACATTGACCTACTTTTATCATTAAAGTGGCCGCTCAAAAAGCAGACATAGGGGAAAATAGATATGTTATTTGGAAAAACATTTACGTTAAAGATTGTGTTTAAGTTGAAGCTGATGATGTATACAATTTTCAAGAGATTCCGAATGATTTTTATGTCCCCACCACATACTGTGGGGCCATATTGTCGGCCTAGGTGCGTCGGTCCGTCTGTCTGTCCGTACGTCCTACAGTTTTCTCAAAAAATTGCTACAGGTATCACCTTCAAATTTTCAGGGATAACTTGAGTTTATAAATGAGTTTATACAGATCCGGTAGAAAAAATTTCGACTCGATACCTATTTCCTATCGGCCATTTTGAAGTCAAATGTTAAAATCCTTGTCTGCAGACTTTAAGAAAAACAGCTTTACAGTTACTTTTAAAACTTCTTTTAACATCTTCTTTAATTCACTTTATTCTACGTCTGATTAGGTTCTGGACATGTTGACTTAGTCATAGCAGCCATTTTGAATGTCTTCAGAAAAGTCAGCGAGCGATAATACTTTGTATCATATTAGAAGGTGTTTTTAAGTTCTCATAATTAAACTATTTAGTATCTTTAAAAATAATTCAAGGTGTTCTGTAGTGTAGAAACTCATGTCACAGTTCACAGTAGGTATATGCGATAATTTTGACAATAAAAAATAAAAAAATAAAATAAAATTGACAATAACTTATGGTGTGAGGTTCCATATCCATCCGTCAAAAGGTACGACATAGTCCATTTAAAAACCTGTGATTTTGTTCTAAACAACGCCATAGTTGGCTTCTAGGGTACCTAGAACAGACTTGCCAACCTAAAATGAAAAATTTACGGGAGATTTAAAAAAATTGCGGTACTTTTACGGGAGTTTTTTTCAAAATCCGGTAGTTTTTGCGGGAGTTTTTTGAAAAAAAGCGGGAGTTTTACGGGAGGTTTTTGAAAAAAACGGTAGTTTTTACGTGAGATTTTAAAAAAACGGGAGTTTTTGCGGTAAATTTTGAAAAAAAAACGGGAGATTTTACGGGAGATGTTGAAAAAACGGGAGTTTTTACGGGAGATTTTTAAAAAAAGGTATTTTTCGCGGTGAATTTTAAAAAACGTGACTTTTTTACGGAAGATTTCAGAAAAAACGGGAGTTTTTGCGGTAGGTTCTGAAAAAACGGGAGTTTTTACGGTAGGTTTTGAAAAAACGGGAGTTTTTGCGGTAGATTTAAAAAAAAGGGAGTTTTTACGGTAGATTTCTGAAAAAACGGGAGTTTTTACGGTAGATTTCTGAAAAACGGGAGTTTTTACGGTAGATTCTGAAAAAACGGGAGTTTTTACGGTAGATTTCTAAAAAAACGGGAGCTTTACGGTAGATTTCGGAAAAAACGGGAGTTTTTACGGTAGATTTCTGAAAAAACAGGAGTTTTTACGGTAGATTTTGAAAAAACGGGAGTTTTACGGTAGATTTCTGAAAAAACGGGAGTTTTTACTATAGATTTTGAAAAAACGGGAGTTTTTACGGTAGATTTTGAAAGAACGGGAGTTTTTACGGTAGGTTTCTGAAAAACGGCCGCGGGTGTTTTTACGGTAAATTTTGAAAAAACGTGAGTTTTTACGGTAGATTTCTGAAAAAACGGGAGTTTTTACTTTAGATTTTGAAAAACGGGAGTTTTTACGGTAGATTTATGAGCATTAAATCCAGCGATTTAATTGGTTGAAATTATTATGACGCATGCGCAGTTAATAAATTAATTAGAACATATAATCTAAGATAGATGTCACTTACGTTCATTATTTCACAGCAGTCCCTACCAATAATGCGCCTTATATTGCGGGAATATTTTGTTTAGCGCCATATAAAAACAAAATGTATTCTCCCGACAGAAGTATGACAGAATATGAACTGGCCCCCGTTTGTGGACATTTGGTGTGCAAACTTATACCGAACTGATCGCAGAAAAGCAATTTGAATCATGGGAATGAAGTACTTTTAAGTTAATTATGAAAGTATCGATAGTGAACCATGGGAGCCAACCTTCTTGGAGTAAAAGAAAGAAGCGTGCCTGCAATAATCAAGGTCACAAATTTGTCAAATTCCTTTTAAATACGGTAGATTTCGACAGCAAAAAAACGGAGATTTTACGGGAGTTATACCAAGAATACGGGAGATTTTACGGGAGTTATACCAGAAAACGGGAGATTTTACGGGAGTTATACCAAGAATACGGGAGATTTTACGGGAGTTACACCAGAATACGGGAGATTTCAGCAAAAATACGGGAGATTTTACGGCCATATTTTTAAAAAAAAATTACGGGAGATTTTAGTAGAAATACGGTACGGGAGTTTACGGGAGTTTTTACGGGAGAAAACGGCACGGGAGTTTGGTATTTTTGACGGAAAACAAAAAATTTACGGGAGATTCCCGTAAAAAAACGGGAGGTTGGCAAGTCTGCTAGTATGCCATTGTTTGGTATCAAAATAAAGAGGAGGAGTTCAACTTTCATTTTAATTTCGAAAATAGCGTTGTAGGTCAAAACAGATCTAACGTGAGCATGTTTAATAGCGTGTGCCCGTCATCTCAGAATTGAGCAAATGGTAGCAAACGCGAGTTACAATAAATGGACGCTGATATCTCAAAAAGTAACCTGACTCCCTATAATTTGATGTAGATCAAACGAACCCCTATATGAACACGTACATTTTGATATATAACACTATGGGTGGTAAGCGTTTCATTGTTGGTCACGAACCCCATATGTGCAAAGTATTGTTCAGAATTTTCGAATTTCGTGTTGGATTACGGTACTCACACCTTATTTCTGCTTTTTTATTGTCGGCCATCTTGGAGTTATCCATTGTAAAATCATATATGTAAGTTTTATCTACGCCTTTTCAGGCAAATCATTTTAGGGATCAATTTCAAATTTTCAGGGATGATTCTTAGTATGATAAACTACAACTGATTAGGTTTTGGGGATTCTCGGTAAATATTAAGGTGGCCATTTTGGATTTTCCATCCTTAAATTTTGTTTGTAAATTCTTGTCTGCGCTTTCAGGCTAATCGATTCACGGGTCAATTTCAAATTTTGAGGGATGATTCTTAGTATGAGATTCTGGAACTGATTAGGTTTTGGGCATTCTGGGTAAATGTTAACGTGGCCATTTGGATTTTCCGTCCTAAAATCTCGTCTGTAAGGTATATTCTGTCTACATGTTTTGAAGCAAATGGTTTTACAGATCAATTTCAAATTCAGGGATGATTTTTTAAATGAACATCTAAAACTGATTAATTATTAGACATTCTGGGTAAATGTTAAGGTGGCCATTTTGGATTTTCTGTCCTAAAATCTTGTCTGTAAAGTCTCGTCTATGTATTCCCAGGCCAAATGTTTGACGGATCGATTTCAAATTTTCAGGAATGATTCTTTGCATGAAAATCTCAAACGGTCTGCCTTTTAGGATTTTTGGTAAAGGGTAAGGTGGCCATTTTAATTTTTTTTCTAAAAAGTTTTCTTCAACTGATTAGTGTTTGGCATTCAGGATGAATTTTTTTATAGGATTGCCCATTGGTGGGGACATGTGCACTTTTGTGTTCTTGTATATATTAGAAATAAATATCTTTGAAAAATTATGTTGTCATAACACCTCAGATCAGAAAGACAAATTGACTTGTGAGTAGTATATGGCGGGCCTTTCGACCCCCCTACCTGTACCTGCACTATTCCACTTCCACGTTCCACGGAAAGTGATGTCAAAGGTCACGTGGTGGTGCACTGGGAGTGACATAACTGGCTCAAAGGTTACTCATAATTGATAAGAGAGTGGTTAAGTGATGATAAGCTATCTGTCTTCTTCATGGATGTTTCATTGTTATAGGTCAAAGGTTGATAACGAACTGATAAAACTGTGAAAAAGATAAATGCAGAACAATTTCAAACAATCACATGACTGGAATATACCAATTTGACCAATTATATTTGACACATACTTTATATGTTGCATAAGCTGTAGAACCAGCATGCCACTTTATATCACTGGTCAAAGGTTATGTGATAAGCTATCTATCCACTTCATGGATGTTTTATTGTTATAGGTCAAAGGTTGATAACAAACTGATGAAACAGTAAATAAGATAACTGCAGAACAATTTCAACCAAACAGGTTTTAACTTGCAGAATTATTTTAACCAATCAAAAGTACAGTATGTTTTAACCAATCAGGTTTCGAGATGCAGAATTATAACAACCAATCAGGGATAGTATGTTTGTATTATCTGATCCAATCGATGTAAAGTATATTTTCATCCATTATTTTAACCAATCGGGTTGCAGTATATTTTCATCTAATCAGAAAGCAGCAAAATCAACCAATCAGAGATAAATTCCACCAGTAAACCAGTTTAAACATTCTGGTATTATGCAGCATAAGTATTTACTGAGAGATTGACATTGCTAAGGTCCAGTCAAAGGTTACTGATAATTGATTAAGAGAGAAGTCTACTGATAAGATAACCAAACCAACACTGTTAAGATAACTTGGTGTCTAAGTCATTCAAGCTCTTAAGTAATCTGTAGAACAAACCTTTGACATATGATATCACTGGTTAATGATAACTGATAAGAGAGAAGTAGAGACTGTAAGTGTACATCATTAATATTATTGAGAACAACAACACAATAAATATATTAAAATAAACATTGAGAAGGTTGATCTGGGGATCAAACCCAGGACCTTTTGCTCCTAAAACAAGCATCATACCACTAGAACAATCAACTGTAGATATGGAGAGAATATTTTAATATACGTCATGGCAATCATAAAAAGTATAGCATGTTTTGAATCAGATATTATGTTATGGTCAGGAAAACAATAACTGCAGAACTATTTTAAACAATTGGGGTACAGTATGTTTTCATCCAGTCAGATATAACAAATCACCCAGTAGGAGAATTTTTGCAACATTAAACAAGTTCCGGCTGGTATTGAAGTTTTATAACCAACAAGCCTACTGAGTCATTTTAAAATAATTTTTAAAGTGTCACGTTTGAGCGATTTCAATCACTGTTGGTCGATTTCTGCTTTTTGGAGTTTGAATCTTTTGTTGTTCGATGTATGTAAATAATTCCGCTCAGTTGAATTTGCAAACAGAACATAGGTCATTGCTACATGCTGCTACAAAGGTAGATTAATCAGTTTTTTTGGACAGCGACCAAGTGTGAAGCGAAAACTGGCATCTAACTGGAAGCACAGCGGGTACTATTTGTGTTTAAATGAGTTTTCCCTCCAATTGTAATCCACCCCTCAAATGTCTAAAAACCATGTAAGTGTAATTTTTTAGAATCTTTTTTAAAGTGTCACGTTTGGGCGATTTCAGTCACTGTTGATCGTTTTCTGCTAATTTTTGGAATTTTAGTCATTTTCACAAAATAGACACCCATTCACTATACAAAATAACACGCTTTAATAGGCATCTGTTAATTTAACATACCACTGATAAAAATATAAACCCCCACAAGATAAAAATGCTAACATTAACAGTTTCTCAGTGGAATATTTTCGACCAATCAAAGTGTATATGCAAATGAGCTGCAGAACCATTTCAATCAATCAGATCAGATAATTGCACTCTTTGACCCCGCCGCCACCACCACCGCCGCCGCCGCCGCCGCCACCTCCGCCGCCGCCGCCACCGCCGCCGCCGCCACTGCCGCCGCCATGGCATGTGATATTCATATTTAAATAGGTTTTCTATCAAATTGCAATCAAACCTGGTTAAAAGTAAAGATGGCGTTGGCGGCGGCGGCGGTGGTGGCGGCGGCGGTGGCGGCGGCGGTGGCGGTGGCGGCGGCGGCGGCGGTGGCGGCGGGGTCAAAGAGTGCAATTATCTGATCTGATTGATTGAAATGGTTCTGCAGCTCATTTGCATATACACTTTGATTGGTCGAAAATATTCCACTGAGAAACTGTTAATGTTAGCATTTTTATCTTGTGGGGGTTTATATTTTTATCAGTGGTATGTTAAATTAACAGATGCCTATTAAAGCGTGTTATTTTGTATAGTGAATGGGTGTCTATTTTGTGAAAATGACTAAAATTCCCAAAATTAGCAGAAAACGATCAACAGTGACTGAAATCGCCCAAACGTGACACTTTAAAAAAGGTTCTAAAAAATTACACTTACATGGTTTTTAGACATTTGAGGGGTGGATTACAATTGGAGGGAAAACTCATTTAAACACAAATAGTACCCGCTGTGCTTCCAGTTAGATGCCAGTTTTCGCTTCACACTTGGTCGCTGTCCAAAAAAACTGATTAATCTACCTTTGTAGCAGCATGTAGCAATGACCTATGTTCTGTTTGCAAATTCAACTGAGCGGAATTATTTACATACATCGAACAACAAAAGATTCAAACTCCAAAAAGCAGAAATCGACCAACAGTGATTGAAATCGCTCAAACGTGACACTTTAAAAATTATTTTAAAATGACTCAGTAGGCTTGTTGGTTATAAAACTTCAATACCAGCCGGAACTTGTTTAATGTTGCAAAAATTCTCCTACTGGGTGATTTGTTATATCTGACTGGATGAAAACATACTGTACCCCAATTGTTTAAAATAGTTCTGCAGTTATTGTTTTCCTGACCATAACATAATATCTGATTCAAAACATGCTATACTTTTTATGATTGCCATGACGTATATTAAAATATTCTCTCCATATCTACGGTTGATTGTTCTAGTGGTATGATGCTTGTTTTAGGAGCAAAAGGTCCTGGGTTTGATCCCCAGATCAACCTTCTCAATGTTTATTTTAATATATTTATTGTGTTGTTGTTCTCAATAATATTAATGATGTACACTTACAGTCTCTACTTCTCTCTTATCAGTTATCATTAACCAGTGATATCATATGTCAAAGGTTTGTTCTACAGATTACTTAAGAGCTTGAATGACTTAGACACCAAGTTATCTTAACAGTGTTGGTTTGGTTATCTTATCAGTAGACTTCTCTCTTAATCAATTATCAGTAACCTTTGACTGGACCTTAGCAATGTCAATCTCTCAGTAAATACTTTTGCTGCATAATACCAGAATGTTTAAACTGGTTTACTGGTGGAATTTATCTCTGATTGGTTGATTTTGCTGCTTTCTGATTAGATGAAAATATACTGCAACCCGATTGGTTAAAATAATGGATGAAAATATACTTTACATCGATTGGATCAGATAATACAAACATACTATCCCTGATTGGTTGTTATAATTCTGCATCTCGAAACCTGATTGGTTAAAACATACTGTACTTTTGATTGGTTAAAATAATTCTGCAAGTTAAAACCTGTTTGGTTGAAATTGTTCTGCAGTTATCTTATTTACTGTTTCATCAGTTTGTTATCAACCTTTGACCTATAACAATAAAACATCCATGAAGTGGATAGATAGCTTATCACATAACCTTTGACCAGTGATATAAAGTGGCATGCTGGTTCTACAGCTTATGCAACATATAAAGTATGTGTCAAATATAATTGGTCAAATTGGTATATTCCAGTCATGTGATTGTTTGAAATTGTTCTGCATTTATCTTTTTCACAGTTTTATCAGTTCGTTATCAACCTTTGACCTATAACAATGAAACATCCACGAAGAAGACAGATAGCTTATCATCACTTAACCACTCTCTTATCAATTATGAGTAACCTTTGAGCCAGTTATGTCACTCCCAGTGCACCACCACGTGACCTTTGACATCACTTTCCGTGGAACGTGGAACACGTGACCTATGACATCACTTGCGGTGGAAGTGAACACGTGACCTATGACGTCACTTCCGGTGGAAGTGGAAGTGGAATAGTGCAGGTACAGGTAGGGGGGTCGAAAGGCCCGCCATATACTACTCTTGTGTTCTATAGGCTATTTATATAAGGACTATGAAATAATGTGTCTTCATTGTTGTTTAGGGATTTCAGGCCTCCTAGACTTCTAATCACGCGATCATCAGTTTCTATAGTAGTCAATAGGTTTCTACCTCGCTGATTTCGTTCCCTGCACCCGAAAACGCACAACGCGAACAGTACAGTCGCGTATTGGTGTGGTAACTCGATGTGCGATCGCGAGTGGATACATAAGTCCCGAGCGATAGAACTGGCGGTTTGCGAATAAATAGAACTGGCGGTTTGCGAATAAATATCTCTACATTCGAATTCGCTGAGTTCGGGTGGATCGGAAGGAAGTCATTGAGGAGGCCTGAACTGATGACCGCGTATGAAGAATGCCTAGAATGCTTGTGTTTTACGTTTAATTCCAGAATGACGTGCTTCAATTCTCTCCATGTTTACTGGGACCGACCAAAGTTTGCTCATGGAGAGGCTGGATATGAAAAATTGGGATTGAAAATTTACAGATACAACAATTGTGGGGGTGGCTATTGTGGGCCCAATTATTGCTGTTGTAGATCGATATAAGGGAAGACAAGCTGAATAAATCGGGAACTAGGAAAGTGTCTAAAATATAACACAATGAAGAGGATCATATGCCTTGGAAGGAAGCACCCAAAAAGCAAAACGCTTGCATTCATCAATATTGGTGCTAGAAATCCAATGTAAATATAAACTTACAAAGGTTGTTTGAAAGTGTCTAAAATATTACACAATGAAGAGGATCATAATATGCCTTGGAAAGAAGCACTCAAAAAGCAAAACGCTTGCATTCATCAACATTCGTTCTAGAAATTCAATGTAAATATACAAAGGTTGTTTCATAAGTTCTGAGTTCATTATTTTCTACAACTATAATCCTTGGCAAGGAGATGCCATGAATGAAGTGTTTAGACAGCTTATTAATTATTGATATTCAGAATTTCATAGGAAAGTATTCGATTTTCACAAAAACATAATGTGTTGCAGGATAACCCGGACACCTATTTTTGTCAAACTTTTTTTAATCAAATAAAGTTCGTTAACAGCGGGAAATGACACACAAAATGGTGAAGTGACACACGTGGTGAAGTGACGCACACAGTAGACCTAGATATCGATCCCAATGGCCAATTCTGAATGAGTGTTTCAGTGAATAAGGAAAGTTATGAACCTTCAAGAATATTAATGCCTTACAAGATAAGTATTTAAAGTGTGTGTGTGTGGGGGGGGGGGGTCCAAGATTATAAAATGTATACTGAATTCAAAGTAATTAAATAGAAAGCAAATGTTAAATTCCTTTTTGAAGATTGTTGAATAACATAAATGATAAATAAATGTGTATATGCGACACATTGTTTAAGTTTTACTGGTCATTCTATGTGTGCACGTAATACATTGTTTTAAGTTTTACCGGTCATTCTAAGGTTATATTCGATACACATCATAAATACACTTAACATCTCTAACATATTCACTTGTATCACAAATACCGCACAACCATGATTATCTGTCATATTCCGCGTAACAGCCTTGTCTACAATTTAAAAAATTCCTGTATACCCGAGCTGAGTTTCAGGGTAAGTTAAGAGAGAGTTGAATATGCGTGACAAGCATACAAAATGACTTACCCGAACTATTATAATGAATTAGATTACCATGATGATACAATAATTTACAGATTCGTGTGATGTTTCAAAAATTGAACACAAAACTAACATATATTTTTATTGGCATTTAATATTTTTATACAAATAGTTTTACAACTCCGACTCCCTCAGTCCATTACTTTCTGAAATACTGTCTCTCGTGCAGTGCATATTCATATTAAAATATTTGGATCACATTTTGATCACATGTTCATTAAAGTCTAGGCCCCAATCGATTTAAAAATCTGACAAATTAATTTGGACCTTTGAGTAAAGGCGTTCACGCCGACGTCATGCGCACATCACCTTCACAAATAGTCAGACTACACCTACATTATCATTGCGCTCCATGTATTCCAATTGTTCAACGTCTTATACACTTTTGCTCTTCCTATATCCTATTGTTGCATGTTTGAAAAGTATGAGGCATTTGAGAAGTTGTAATACATTGTTATTGCACTTTAATAAATCTTTAGTCTAATCGTACACTGACGTCATTCCATTCATCCCAAATGCCCCTGTGTGCGAGTGTGGGGCTGAGCATGTGCACGTGTCTCCTGATTCACCAATTCTAGTGTACGTGACCATGCAAGGGCGTGGCTCTCTATACACAATGTCTGGGCTATCACAATCTTCTAGTGCGTACATTTGTTGTGGACTTGTCGTGTGTCGGTAGCTCATACAGTCATCGTCATCAGAATCGTCAAGAAAGTCAAGGTTGATATGACATTCGGATGTCGGTTTGGTGTGTTCAGTATTTGGTTACGCCAAGGAATGTCGGGATCGAACGCTGAGATCGTGCACTAATCCAGTGCTCGATTGGTCATCGTCATCATCGTCAAGAAAGTCTAGGTTGATATGAAATTCGGAAGTCGCTTTGTCACGTCCAGCATCTAGTCTCGTCGAGGGATGTCGGGATCGAACGCTGAGATTCTGCACTGATCCAACGCTCGATAGGTCATCGTCATCACCGTCTAGAAAGTCTAGGTTGATGTGAAATTCGGAAGTCGCTTTGTCAAGTCCAGCGTCTGGTCTCGTCGAGGAATGTAGAGAATGGATACCAAGACCTTGCACCGATCTAGGTCTCTGAGAGGGGACATTCAAATCAGTTGTATTACTGTCATTCATTGTTTTACTCTTGCCATATGCAAGATCCAAGTGCGGAAACAATCCAACGGATTGACTACGGAAGTAGTCGGGACCAGCGGTTGGATAATCAATACCAGTCTGACTGCCATAATTTATTCCTAGCCTACTAGAGGGGGTGAAGTCGCTTGAACTTAGGGACCCTGAAACTGGTTTACACGTGTTATTTATATGGCTAGTGTATGGTAAGACCTGTTGGTGGTCTTTTGGCGAAACGGACGGCCAAGCAGGATTCGGAAGGCGAGATTCTTTTCTCATGATCTGTTCCCGTTCTGAAGTCATGAAGTGGTTTGAGTAGCACTCTACCTTTCGTTGCCTTGGTAGATCAAAAGGGGTGAAGTTTAACAAAGGTCCAATCTCTTGTGTCTTCAGATGGATTGGGGATTCCTTTAACACGGTTGGTGGACTGACCTCACGACATGATTCTTTGCTTGATTGGTAACTGTATGTTCTAAGGTTTCGAGAGTGGCGATCTGCGGAAAGTGTGGGTGATCCACATGGCCTTTGGTTCTGTTGTACAGATTCGCTGTACGTTCTAAGGCTTCGAGAGGACCAAATGATTGGTGTGTGCGGTTCACATGGATTTGGGTTCTGCTGTGCATATTCACCACGACAGTTATCAGGCCTGTCAGCTGGGAATTTGATGTCGTCGTCGATCACCGGACTGATTACAGAAACGAAGTCCTTCTGACGGGGACATTTTGTAAGAGAGTTGCATGTATTAGAATCGGAGTTACTGCAGACCAAACTCTCTTCTACGGGGTTCGGCTTGGTCTCCAACATTGACCCAACTTTTGGTGAAATCGTAGGCCATTCTGTAGTTGAATGACTGATTTCGTGCCCTTGTTTAATGCTTAATTGGTTTCTGCCGAATCTAGGACTGCGTGAGTAACCACTCGTGGTTGGTGCCGGAAGTTCAAAAGGACTAAGTTTCAGTTCAACTGATTGGCTACGGTGGTAGTCAGCTTCATCAGTTGGGGACTTTATTTTGTAATCTAACCCTGGACTGCTAGCTGGAATCATGGGCATTATGCCGTCTCGGCTATTTTCGCCATAACGTTGAGATGGACTGACGTCTAGCCATAATCGTTTGCCTGGTCGGTAGTTGCAGAATCTAGGGCTGTGAGAGGGTCCATCCTGGGTAAAGGTACACGATTCACATGTGCTAACATTCAATTCAACCGATATGCCATGGTTGCGTTCAGACCCATCATTTGGGAATTCAATAATGCAATCTGACAATGAACTTCTAGCAGCACGTATCTCACATGGACTGAAGAATCCCGAAACTGATTGTGATAATTCCGTGACCAAAGTCAGAGATGAGGAGCTACATTGCGAACGTGGACTTGTACTGAAACGAGTAATAGACGTTGTATCCGACAATGATACTATCGATAGGCTGTCTCCGTCATCATTCCACGTGTTTCCATCATCCTGGAATGGAATTTTCAATTCAGAGTCCAAGACCTGAATCTCTTCTTGTAGTTTTACTTGCATATACTCTACTTGAAGTCGAGTTATGCCCTCTGCCTCTTCTTTCGGCTTTTGGTCATCCTTCTTAGAAGCTGAAACCACGTTCAAGTATCTTAAAATATTTTATACAATTTAAATGGCACATTCGATCTTGAATAAAATGTATTTTTTAGAACTCAATTGACACAGCCAAGAAATCAATTGACACAGCCTAGAAATCAATTGACACAGCCTAGAAATCAATTGGCACATCCTATCTTAATATCGTAATGATATGATGGAAGAATAATATTGGTATAGACATTATGCTACATATATTTGGTCTCAAACAGAAATGCACAGCGCTGTTAAAACATTCATGTACAGTGCTGTTGGTCAAACAGCATTACATATGAGAGACAATACATGATAAAAAGTAGGGAAATGCTATCAAAAAGAGGCTTACCAATAGAAACTTTAATCAGCCTAATCTCAGCGGTCAATGCAGTCATTTCTAGCCCCAGCCTTTGCTGTTCTGCTTTCTCAATCTTGATTTCATCCTGTACCTTCAAAAGAAACTGTTGCAGGAATGGAATTTCATCTGCATTGGTTGCTGTAAATATAAACCAGGAATTATCTTGCAAAATGTCACAACCTGTCAGGCGTCGAACGCCAAAAGGCCGAACACCGTCCGTCCATAAAAAGTTGGAGACGATAACAATATGTCACCCCTTATTTCTTAATTGTGACATAGACACAACCTCCATCTTTTGCCCACATTTTTGAGACTGAATGCTCTATCTTGTATGAATACTATATATGGTATTTACAACTATTTTTGATGTTATTAGTATTGGTTATCATTTAAACCTTATTTTCAACATTTTTCACCTGTCACCCTCTTTAGATTTGGCCCTTCGACTGTTTTTGGTTGATAGGCCCACCCACTTACTTTCGTAGTCAACATCTGCTGGTAAAGTGACATCTGTTGATGTTTCGACGGAAGCTGTTATAGCAACGGCATCTTTCTTCTTCATGAAGCAATTCTTGAACCGCCGCCACGCCGCTCTAACCTTCTGAAATCCCATCTCAGTCGCTTGAATTTCTATTTCACTGTTGTCGCAAGAATATATTTTGCCAATATGAAGAGTAAACATTCATTTGTTGTCGTTGCTATGACGTTTTCTTGAAATTTCAATTGTTTTTCAGTCTGGGTCATTGTGTGACGTCAGTTTATAAAGATGATGTGACGTCATAGACTGTTTCAAAATTTATAATAAGCTACGTCACTTATTTTTGTCATGGTGAAATTACCTGTTGTGCGGATTTAGCGTGTTCTTCGTTTTTTTATCGTTGTGGACCAACATTAGACAGGTTCCAATTTCAGAATATCTCAAGGGAAAGACTTTTTGAGGCATTTTTTAGAAAAAGCAACAGACCTATTTTTTCTGGATCAGTTTTTCATGCTGATAAAGATATTAAAAGATGACAGCTCAACGGGGTGGTCACGACACTGCATTTTAGCGTTTTTACCCCCCTAGGAAATTATCTTAGGGGGTACTATAATATTAGTTCATAACTCAAAGGATATATGAACTATTGTTCTGAGTTCTACAGCATACATTGTTAGAACAGAGATGAATACTATCCTAAAGTTATAGGTTGATATCTTTGTTGGTTTCGGAAAAATACAATTAATTAGAAAAAATATGCAATTTTTGTCATTTTTTCTTGCTTATTTTATATTTGTAGCTTCAAGTAGAATATGATAACTTTAACAGCTCAAAGTAGTATTCTAACAACATTCCCAAGCTATGTTTGATATTGTAATACATCTATTATAGTGATGAAGTACTATTTTGTAATTTTAATATGACTTTATAATGCCCTACCCCTGGTAAATAGAAGAAAGTTGGTATGGTTTTCTTCTGATTTTAACATTTTATTGACTTCTTAGTTGAAAATACAATCAATTCTGTCAGTTAACCATGAGTAGCTTTACAATGGTTAACTATTCCCATGAATAGAGGGTTGGGACCTCAAAAATACCAGAACTGTTAAGTGGCATCCTTGGGCATCCCTCTTCGGAGCATTTTCCTTATACTTCGATGAAATCTGCAGGGGATACTATAAGAAACCTATATATCTAAGATACTAATGAAGATACTGAATTCAAATTTTCAGGATTTGGTCCTGGTATGATAGGTAATCTGTATGACAAAAATGACAAAAAGAAAAAACTCTGTTGCCATAGTAACAAAAATACCACACTATTTGTTTCCTAAGAAATGTGTTTTAAGAGGTTTTGTCATTCTCTTCATATTTTTAATTCTAAATATGTCTACAATGTGGGATGATTAGAATTATGGTAAAGTAATCTTTTCTATTGTTTTATTGTTCTCTAAAACAGAAGTTGCGAAGGCACATAGATATATAGATCATAGAAAAAATGCTGGGATGCACAAGACACGCACAAGAGAAAACGTTTATCAGTTCTATGTCATTGTGTTGTTATTTTTTATTTATCGTGGTCTGGGACTTATAACACCTAATGCCGAGTCTGCTCCAACTGCAAAGGAAGGCAAGATTTTAATAATGAACATTCATATATCTCAACAAATATGGCCTAAGACAATGATGAGGAAACTCTGAGGGATATTTAGACGAAACATTAATGTGAGTGGTCCAAAAATAACACTAACATGTTTTGGAAAAGTTATGCTCTCGGGTGAATCAGTGCTCATTTAAGGATAGTCTGAATCAGGTGAATTTTTTAACTTAATTGTACCCCTCCCCCAAAACCCCCAAATTTTGACGAAATTGTCGAAAAGTGGCAAACAACATTCATTAAAGTTCAATATGGCTATTTCGCTTCTATGTCATAAAGATATGATACAATCTCAGGTCAATCAATAAATTTCACAAGTGACACTCTATCTTATGAAGAAAATACTAACGTATATTTGAAGACATGTCAAAAATTTGGTGGAAATAAATTGTGTCACTCCTGATTTGACCTGCAAATGTTCAGGTAAGATATCACAAACAATTTCAGACAGTTATATCTTTGATTATGACTATTTCCTGATCATGAAGACAGGTATACAGGGATAATAAAGTCAATCGGACTCGGAGATATTTCACTAGCAATCAACCCATCAATGTATTTTTTCAAAGTTGTTGACCTCATTTTCACCAAAAATGCAATCATTTTAACAATGTTTAATGCATTACTATTCTTTATTTTAAGATATCAAATAGCTCTTGAAACGAAAACTGAATTCCCCTAAGATTAGTGTTCCCCATGTTATTTCCCCTTTGAAAAAATTCATGCTATCCATTGGTTTCAGTTCATTTTGGTCATCCAAATTCAGTGTCTTTAAAGTCCCTGGAGCAATCCATTTTTCCTCTTAGGAAATAGAACATGTCTTAAAGCATATTCTAATTATGCATTCAACAATATAATTAAAGGTTGCATCTTTGGTAAAAACTAGGTCATCATTTTTAGTAAAAAGTATGTTGATTGGGCCATTCCCTTTAATATCACTTAAGTCTGATTAATCATTATATTTACTTTTCTTGATGATAATGAATAGATCTAAAAGATATACCTATGTTCATGGTCAGAAAATATTCTAAATGTAAGTTAGAATTGACCTTTTTCCATATAAATGAAAAATAGATGGCATCATGGGTATTGGTAGAGCTTGGGTAGGGCTAGAATACATGTAAATGTATTGCCAGAGTCACTTTATTTCTTGATTTAAGAAGTAATTCCATTTGGATCAACGTGATTTCACATTAAAATTGTGATCCTTGGAAGAGTAAATGAACTTTTTAAGGTTTTTCAGCATTGTGTCAATGGGGATTTAGCCCAACCTTTTTTTAGACAACCAGTAAATCATTAGAATTTGAATAATGGTAAATTACAGTGCAAATCAAAGTTGTTTTGATGGAGAATTACTCACAGAATTCAAATATGCCATCAGATGGAAGAAAACATTAGTTTTTAATGGTTAAAAATGCAGATCTCCTAAAATCTCATTAAAAACAAGACCTTAACGAGATTTCAAAGCTGTATGGAAAAAGGACCATTGTCTGAAGTTGTTTGCGATAACCTACATGCTCCTTTATAACATTATAATGTGAATACTATCAAATGCTTTAGTCATGACAGTTGAAGTAAACTGAAGTCTTGGTATTTAAATGCAGAATCAGATCTATGTAGAGTAAACAAAATTGAAAGCAACATGTACAGTTGACAGTACAGTGTGATGCAACATCGGTGGGAAAGTCATCTTTGGTTAATAAAAAAGATTCTTAGCTACTTTTCTAACATCTGGCTGTGATGCATCATGGCTTAATGAGGACTCTGCTATATGGTCAGATGATGAGAACTAACAGTTTTACGGAACTTTTACCATGTTTTGTACATTGTAAATGACCCTTCTGAATGGGTTGTAAAGGTATATACCAGGAGGTATATATGGCTCAAATGACTCGTGCCCTAGTACATGGGGCACTGTAGTACATTACTTGTGCATGATGACCACCATAGTCTAGTTGCTCAAATGAGATCAATTGATGATTATAATGTTTAGACTTTATGTCAATGTCCTCTCTAGTATGTGATTACACTAGATTTCATTATGGTACATGTACTAAATTGAAAACTTACATATAAAATATCTTAAGTCCTATATTCTAGTAATAAATGAATTAGAATGTCACCTAACATTTGATGATGGTATGAATTTATTGATTTGGTGTCTATCAATACATGTTTCTAACTTAATGCTGCAAAATGATTAAATTCACCACATCCACTTTCTTCAATTTTCCAGGGGTAGGGCACTATAAAGTCATATTAAAATTACAAAATAGTACTTCATAACTAAAATAGATGTATTACAATACCCCATATAGCCTGGAAATGTTTTTAGAATACTACTATGAGCTGTTAAAGCTGTCATATTTTGCTTGAAGCTACAAATATAAAATTGGCAAGACAAAAATTGTGTATCTTTTTCCTGTTTATTGTATTTTTTCTGAGACCAATAAGGGTATCAACCTATAACTTTAGGATAGTATTCATATTTGTACTAGCAATGTATGGTGTACAACTCAGAACAATAGCTCATATATCCTTTGAGTTATGAACTAGTTTCATAGTACCCCCTAGAATATTTTCCTAGGGGGGTAAACATGCCAAAATTCAGTGTCGTGACCACCCCGTTGAGCTGTCATCTTTTAATATCTTTATCAGCATGAAAAACTGATCGAGTAAAAATAGGTCTGTTGCTTTTTCTAAAAAATGCCTCAAAAACTTGAATTATTAGAATTGGAACCTGTCTACATTACTGGGGAGTATCGTGATGCAACAACACCGTGTTGTTGCATCAAGATGGCCAGACTTCCGGTGATAGATTTTCGTACGATATTTTGTTTCCCCAATTAAACCCATTTCTAGGACGAGTTGCTCAATACCCATACACGTGCAGTTAGCACACGATCTATATTTAAAGAAACTGTCATTAGTATACATGTACCATCATCAAGAAGCAATACGTTTACGGTTTTAGTTCATCACTATTGATGCAACAACACCAAACCGAAGATGCAACAACACTCCTCTAGGTTTGAGCAATGATGCAGCAACACCAATTAATAGTATAATTTCAGAAGACCATAAATCTCGAGAGGAACAGATTTCTAAATCCTATTATTGCAACACCGTTACCCATTACCCATATTTGCGTTCTTCTCAAGGCATTCAAAATACACGTCCTGCGGGCGAAGATCCTGTATATGTATTTTCAAAAATGTATACTTTTAAATATTATAATGTACTGGACGTTGTTCTATAACATAGTTCAATCGCCTTTAACATGGCAAGCTTTAGTAACCCAATCTATTTTCATAAACCACTTTTCCATAGCTTGATGACCCTGACTCCAGTTAGTATCATTTAAAATGGTGGACAAACATCTTTCGTTCTCGGTAAACATGATGAGCTATTGGAAATTATCTGTCATCCATCTGTGGAACAGTGATAAACTAGTAGATGTACGTTACCACTGTTTATCAAATTATAATTAAAACAGTTTAACTGTGACATTCGTGAGCTTATGTTGATGGGATGATTGCTTCA